TTGTTTTGTTCCGATCGTAGCAAGCGGGCCGGTGGTTTGAGACTTGGGACTCGCGAATTTCTGGTAGCTGGATGCCTGAAAAGGAAGAGTCCAATTTTCGTAGTTGGATGTGAATGTAGGTACTTATTATAGTGTCACGCCAAAAGACCCATATTCCTACTCGTGACAATAGGCAACCAAGATTACGTGAATATTGGCTCGTATTCGGCGCTTTATTTTAAATGTAAGAGGCGTTTTCAACTTGACATTTTTAGATTGGTTGTTATGGAGTAACTAGGGAGATTCTTTCATTATTTGACAGCTTTACATTGTTGTAATGGAGTAACTATAGGGAGATTTTTTCATTATTTGACAGTTTTACATTGTTGTTATGGACTAACTAGGGAGATATTGTCATTATTTGACAGTTTTACATTGTTGTTATGGAGTAACTAAGGGGATTCTTTCAAATTGACTGTTTTACATTGTTGTTATGGACTAACTAGGGAGATTCTTTCTTTATTTCAAAGTTTTACATTATTGTTATGGACTAACTAGGGAGATTTTTTCATATGATAAATTTTACATTGTTGTTATGGAGTAAAACTAAGGAGATTCTTTCTTCCATTTAGAACGCTCCAGAATAATTTAAAACCATTTAAGACAAGAATTCAGTACTCACAAAATATTTTATTTGATAATAGGCAACTTAATTACACCTAGGCATTTTACGCCTATTATTTTCAGAGTACCAAACTCTAGCCTTAAAATGCACCAGAAATTGGAAACGTTTCTTTATTGCAAAATATTTTTCAATAATCATATTATTTTAATTTAACCTTTCGTTTCTAAATAATTTTCTTCTTATCTTATCACCATCCTCCTCGTAATCATCATCATCTTCCTCATCCTCGTAAGTATAACAACTGAATTGAGCTTAATCATCATCATTATCATCATACCCACCGGCTTGAACTTGCCTACCGGATTTACGATTCAGAGCTAAAAAAAACAACATATACAAAAAGTGCCCCCTGAATTCAATTCAATTACAAGACACTTCAAGTCTTTTAATTTGCGGCGTCTCAAATTCGCATTTAGGCCAAAATTATTCCTTTATTCTTCACCTATTCGAATACTTTTCTTCCAAATATCAACCTAAATTATTCCACGATTGACCTACAAATTGTATTACAAGTGTGAGTATAATCATTACGAGTAATTGTATTTGTACTTACAATTGTAATTCTAGTCCTCGAGTAACTTCCACGAAGGTCTGAATGTTCGAAATTGATCTTCATTGTAGAGAAATTTGTTGTAAAACGAGCACCGAAATTTCATTCTTTTTGGAATATCTCCACAATTAGCCTCCTTTAGGGGTCACTAGGACGTTTCGTAGAAGTCGAAAATTGCCCTCCGGATGAATCGAAAGATGATTTATAGTCGAGTAATTGATTAAAAAGTACTTTTACGATTTTACGTTTTCTTTTCCGGCATTTTTAGAAGTTTTCTTCCCCAAATTTCCTATTTACTCTTCGATTATTCCGAACCTAACCTCAAATGTCACTCGTCTACTGTCATTACTGTCAAATTTGTAAGAAGCTTCAGTTGACGGTCATATATTATAAGGTCTGGAAACTTGAATTTGCGTAGTTGCTAAATAGACCGGTAGGCATCAATGTTGTAGACATAGAGAAAGAAAGATGAGAGAGTTCGATCTCTTACTAAAAATTGGAAACGCGTCGATGGTGCTGCTGCTAGTATGGTGTCCCACGAACTAATGAAATATCGAGTAGATTTCTTCTATATTTCAAAATTAAAAATGGGTGGTATACTCAAATTTTATTTTTATAATTTAATATTACATACTGCAAATTATAAAATAAGAACAACTTTTAATTATTAGAAATGTATTTATTGAAAGATATAAAAAATTAGTATACATACATATAACCTAAATAAATGAATTACAATACAACATTTGAACATAATTCGACAAAATTAATAACATAGACGATAACAAAAATATAATACAATAACTAGAAACGTAAAACAAATACAACCTTGTTACTTGTTCTAAGTAAGATGAGTCAGATCCCTCAGCTCCCAGGTCCTACAGCTTACAATTCTTGTAGAGCTAACTAAAACATAAAAAATATGAGCAGCTTCTAATTCAGGAAAATAACAAAAACAGTTAAATGTATCAGAAAAATGATCTTCTCTTCACAGAGTCTCATTTGCTTGGTTGAATGGGACAAACCTATAATATAACCTATAATATCCTATAAATCCTATATCAAACCATTTGTTATTTTTTGTTTCGCTCAAAGAATTTAAAAAAATGCTTTTGAAGAATATTCCTTCGAACCTTCCTTCGAATTGGCGTCGACATTTTAAATTTGTAAACATATAAATATATAAAAAGTAAAAATACTCACCATTTAGGTTAAGCACTATAATGGCGTCTGCATCACTCACTAAACTCTCTTTAAACGAAAAACGACCGACTGATTCGACTGAAGCGGCTGGACGGGCTGGACCAGCTGGACCCGCGATCGCGATCATTTCCACGCGGGTCTCGTGTAAAATTAATTAACGAATCAAAACAATGGAAATGCATTTCGTTTTTCGATTGTAGCGCCTCTGGTCGCGTGTCTCAGAAGTAATCGCGTTATTGGCTGGGTCCTATGCTTTAAACAGTCTCTTTTATTTTGTCTATGGTTGTAGAGGATATTTTTTGGATTCAACCTTTAGCTTGTTATAGGTTGCCACAATTTGGATGTTTACAGAGCTTATATTGAAGTAAACTATTATAAACATCTTCATTCAACTAGATAACGCCAATAACACAAGTCGAGTTTCCAGACCTTGTAGTATACGATCGTGCTTCTGTTTATTGGCCAATTCTTTGCACCGTTTTCGTTTTAGTGATTTTTTTTAACATATAAACAGATAATAGTACTAAATAGTACCTATTTTGTCTACGGTGTATGTACATACGACAATTCTCTACTCAATTTCCTCGACCTTTTACCTGTTATATCAATTGAGCCGATTGAGGGTTTGTGATTGGTCATCCTCACATAGGGTAATCCCAGATAAAGAGAGGAATATTTGGCAACGTCGCATTTTCCACAAATTCCATAACATAGCGCTTTTTTACTTCTTTCTTCACTGGAAGTCTGAATCTGAACTCCCTGTATCTGTTCGAGTGCCTTACTAAATTAAAACGTAGTGAGAAATTAATTCATCGAGATTAGTTACTGTTTCAGTTGTGTTAATTGGTTCACCGGAAAAATAGCAAAGGTCTGTATAATTATTATTACATAATTTATAAGTTTATTTAGGTGTTAAATAGTTAAAATATTGATAAATATTGTTTTTATTAAATCGTCAATATCGTGGAAATGGCTTTATAAAACACAATTGTCTTTTATATACCGAAATAAATGAATATTTTAATTCACTTTAATTATAATTGGAAGACACTTCTGAACTATCCAAAGACTAAAAGAAGGAATTCAATTTTTTTGAAATATTTTCGTTAGTAAATTATCTCATAAAAAATGGCGACTCGGTAGGTAATTAAAAAAAACAAGAAAACAAATATCGAGTCACGTACAGTTTTGCTTATAATGCAAACTAAACAGGAAGATGTATTTTTGCTTAATAAACTATTTCTTTATTTTCAACAATAAGTTGTATATATTATTTTGTTTATTCAAGTTGATTGTTAAATATTCGGTGAAGCACCGGCAGACATGTTGCTTTTTTTTATTAGGAAATTTTATTTTTATTTTATTTTCCCAATACTTTTTCGCCACAGCCACGTTTATGGTACGGAAAAGATATTTTGTAGCCAGTCTAGCATGCGGTCTACCGTAATTTTTGCGGTCTACCCATACATATTCCGTCGTCCAAGTAAATTTAAATACTTTGACAGGTGTCATATTTTGCAAAATTGATGTACTGGTTGTGAAACATGTCTCACAAAACTGCAAATATTAAATTTGTCCATTTAAACTTTTTTTTTCTTTTTCCAAACAGATTTCTGTATAGTAAACATCGAAAGAAAAACTCAACCTCCATAATTCTGATTCCTCCGCAATTCTCAATAAATTGAATTACTTACTTGCTCTTCCAAACATAAATTATTATATACTCGTAATACAGGGTGTCCCAATGAAAAATAGCCGCTTTAAATACAAAATACAAAAATTAATGAGCTAATAATTTTTAAACGCCTAATCATAAAACTTTTTTCGAAAGGTTTTCGAAGATATGTTTTAATTTGCTATAACTTTGTTACAGAAACACAAAAATTTCGTATCGCCTGTACAGGGTGTTTCATAAAAATCTCCTCTTTTAAATTCACATTAACCAAATTTTATGAAATAGGACATTTTCTTTTGTAGAATAAGATGTACAAATAATACATTTTTGAAAAGTAGAAGAATATATCATTCAAAATACCTCTATATATACGGGGTGTTCCATTTAAAAAATTTAGTAACTGTGAATTTAAAAGAGGAAATTTGTAAACAACACCCTGTATTGGTAATGCATAATTCCTGTATCACTGTAACAAAACTTGTAATAAAATAAAACATTTTTGAGAAAATCATTTTTGAGAAAACTTTTCATTGGGACACCCTGTACTTATAAAATCTTTTCGTTTGTTTAATAAAGATACCTAGGTATATTTAAGTTTAAATAAATACTGGTACTTCCCTAATTTTGTATAAATTGAATTACCCACATGCTATTCTATAAATAATAACAATAACATTTTTTTTCTCTAGCTTAATGTTGGGTCAATTTTCAAAATCTTGCTGTTGTACTTTTGTATAAAAGAAAATTGGGTAGACCGCTCCCTCATTTTTTTACTCATATTACATCTATTCTTAATATTTTATAGAACTTTTATTATGCCTGGTCAGATAAGCTTCGGAATACTTACTGGTAAGTAGGCAACTCATTTTACATTTCTTCAATTTAAATTGACTCTCCATTACAGTCAGCGACAGCAGTTATTCGGGTAAAGGCAATGATTCATCAAGTCCTAAATTAAAAGAAGAAATATTAAAGGAGTTTTCATCTGCCGAAATAATCGCAATAAAAATCGTACCAGTGGATATGCAGGAAATTAAATCGACTCTAACAGAATGGTTTGACTTGAAAATCAACGTAATATTCACAACAGGCAATTTACCAGACATCATCTTTGCTATGATCACCAGTAGCTTGAAGAACATTCCAATTGCGATGCTCTCCAGACCCTTGAGCTATATTAAAGACAACACGATGATAGTTAATCTGCCGGGAAGCCCTGAAATGGTTTCGGAATGCTTCGGTATCATCAAGGAAGCCTTACCCCTCGCTTTGGAGCTCCTAACTGAACAAAAAAAATCTGTGGTTTCTGGTCACGGAGCCATTCTGAGCGACTCTGGAGCATCCGTTTTCCCAACCACCAGCCTTAGTAAGGTAATTTATAAAATTAACAGCTTCGACATCAGCGAAGGTACTATTACTCAATTCGAATTTGTCTTTATTTTCGTAGGTGAAACTGGCTCCATTAAGAAAATACCGCTACCCTATTATCGATATTAAAGTTGCTTATGGTATTATTAATGATATTTGTTCTGATGAAGAGGAAACCACAGAAACGGTGCCTTTGGAGAGATCGCTTAATCGAATTGTAGCAGAAGATTTTCGTGCTGAAGAATCGATTCCTTCATTTCCAACTTCGATTATAGATGGTTACGCTGTTAAATGGAGCCGTTGCAAAGGAATACGTGTTGTGAAGAATGTCGCAACTGCAGGAGATAAGGTGTGTAGATACATTTACAAGATTTCTAAAGAAAGAACTCATTAGAATTGTAATAAATGAAGTTTGTAATTTTGCAGCCAATCGATGAAGTTCTGCAGTCAGGCGAAGCGATAAGAATATCGATGGGAGAACCAATTCCTGCGGAAGCAGACGCAGTGGTACCATTGGAAGATACTTCAGTTGTTGAATATTCGATTGATGGTTCTGAAGTAATTAAGGTGGAAATCAAAAGAGCACCCAACTACAATGAAAACATAAGGTGAGGGAACATTTTTAAATACAATTGTGGAATATCTAATAATTATTTTAGACCAATCGGAAGCGACGTATCGAAGAATTCTTTGGTTTTAAAAAAAGGCGAACGTATCAAACGCATCTCTTTAGAAGTTTTAGCCATGTTAGGAAAAAGTAATATTTTGGTTTATAAGTAAGTTGAATTAGTCAGTTTTCAAAAAGTTCCCTCCTTTACTTTAATACATTTTTTTCTAGACGCCCTTCTATAGGAGTCATATCAATTGGCAATGATATTTGTGAACCTAAAGAAGAACTAGCCCCTGGCAAAATCAAAGATGCAAATAAATTCACCTTAATTAATTTGCTTAAAAATTTCCATTATGAAGCAAACGATTGTGGTATAGCTAAAGACAAGTAATAATTAATCCTGATGTATTTGATCCTTTTTTAATACAATAATTTTTAGTCCTGATGCAATAAAGCAAGCTCTTGAACAAAGTTTTACTTGTAACGATGTTATTATTATAAGCAGTGCAATGGGAGAATTGGACATGTTGAAACGGGTCCTCGTTGAGGATTTTCAAGCTACTATACATTTTTGCAGGATAAAGATGAAACCCGGGTAAGTCAATGTTTCGTAACTTGAAAGATTTCAATGATTAAATAATTATCATTTTGTTATAGAAAATACACGACCTTTGCGACACTTATGTATAATGAAACATGGAAAATGGTGTTTGGCCTAACGGGTTATCCATCTTCATGTGCAATAACTTGTATATTATTCGTTATTCCTGCTCTACGCTTAATGGAAAAATCTCTCTACGACGATTTTGTACCTATTTCTATATCCCGAAATGCATTTCGTGTAAGTAAACATTTTGTTAACAGTGAAATACTTATATTCGAAATACGTTTTGTTTGAAATAACTAACCTCCACTTTTTCTTAAAAACTTTATTTTTCTAATACAATCCGTTCGCTATCAGGAGATACTAATAAAACCTAAATTTGCAAATAATATGAAAAGTAGGTAATTAATATGGAAAATACATCAGGCGCGAATTAATGAAAAAAATCATAAAATTCCAAAACGTAACAGCTTTTACCATTGTATAATTGTTATGTTTATTTTACTTTATTAGTTCTCTCAGTATACAGGGTATTACCTGTTACTAGGTTGTATTTATTTGTTAGTGCCCCTATAATTTACTGTTTTATTATTTTTTTACTATTTCTTGATAGAAAACAGAGTGTAAAATACAATATTACAATAAATTTCATTTTTTAGTGTTCGGTACCATATAATAATGATGATTGTCCAGAGTATCGACTAGTTCAAGTAAACCTCGTTTCGACTCCAATTAGATGTCAAATATACAGCGCATTAACTGATTTAGATATAACAAACGGTTTACTTATACTTGAGCCAAATAAAGATTCAAAAGGAGACTATCGCAATCTTTACAGTGTAATATTATTTCATGAGAATTATTATCAGTGAAATGGGCTGTATTAATTAATACAATCTCTGTTGTTTCTTCTAATTTTAAAATAATACCAATACGTTCTTTTGATCAGTTAACAGTTCTTTTAATTTTTTCAGTTTCAGTTTGTAATAAAATATTTAATTAGTATTTTGGCTTTATTTAATCCTTATTGAAAGATTATTTGTTGCGTTCTGTAAATACATAAATATGTTCTTTATATCCTTTATATCCTTTATATCCTTTATATCCTTTATATCCTTTATATCCTTTATATCCTTTATATCCTGAATATGCCAGTATGTTGCTGGTTCAAAATGTATACTTTTCCCAAAAAATGAACCAAATCGAAATAACTACCATAAAGATACAGGGCGATTCATTCCGAAACGGAATGATTTTAACCCTATATATGAAAAATTACTTAGAATTTTAAGTAGAATTCAAAGGTACGAATATACAGAGTGTTCCATTAAAATATCTATCAAAAAAAATATTGTTTTAATCAATAACGCAAAAACAATTTTCAAAATTATAAAAGTTACCAATGGCGAACACTAATTTGAATAACCCTTACTTTATCTACATATTATACAGAGTGGAAAGTCTAACTAGAACAAATTCTGTAACTTGATAAATAAAGTTTTGTCGCAATATTCCTGAAACATATCAATTTTTATTTTCAATGAGGCATATTACAAAAAAAAATGATTATATTTTTAATTATCTGGGGGGTTGCAGACACCTCTAACTTTTTTTAATGAAAGGATAAAGGAGAGTTCAATATCTGCTTTCAATATCACTCTAAAAATATTTCAAATCCGGTCTAATTGCTCTTCAAAAACCCCTTTAAGTTCGCTTAAAAATCGCTCTAAAACTAATTCAAAACCGTCATAAAACTGCCTTCAATATCATTCTAAAAATATTTCAAATCCAGTATAATTGCTCTATAAAAACCGCTGTAAACCCGCCCTAAAAATTGATCCAATTACTTTTAAAACTGTTCTAATTGTTCTTCAGAAATCGCTTTAAAACAAACATCCCTTAAACTAACTGCTTCATAATTGTTGTAAAGTCGACTTAATAACCGATCTAATATCTAATTGCTCTTCAAAAATCGCTCTAAAACTGCCCTAAAACCGCTTCAAGACCGCCTTAAAAAACTGATCTTGTTACTCTTAAAATTGTTCTATTTCTTCTTCAGAAATGGCTTTAAAACTGCTTCAAAACTGCATCAAATCCGATATAATTTACTTTTCAAAAGCCGTTCTAAAACCGTTTTAAAATCACTCTAAAACCTCTTGGATACCGATCTAATTATTCTCTATAAACTACTCTAAAATCGTTTCAAAACTGATCTAATTTTTTTGTTCAAAAACCGCTCCAATACAGCCCTAAATCCGCTCAAAACTGCTCTAAAACCTATTCGATACCGATCTAACTATTCTCTATAAACTACTCTAAAATTGTTGTAATACCGATCTAATTAATCTTCAAAAATCTTCAGATTTTCGTGGTTCTTCGACATGTTTCTTTTGTAAAGGAAAATGTTGAGTTTTTTATAAAAATAACCATTTTCTAACGTTTTATATTTAGCTATTTTAAAGCTTTTTTTAATATCATTTTTAATGTCATTGTAATGTCATAATAGAATGTAACGAAAATCTTTTTTTTTGCTATTAATTTGAAGATTTTCATTCATCTTCGACCGTTTTATTCCTGTCTCTTGCATGAATGCTCTTTCTTCGTTACGAATTCTGTTCAGGCGAAGATTAAATTTTTTATGATCAATAACCCTTTTTATAACTATTTTTTTAGGAATTTTTAAACCTTTTTAAATCATTTCGAAGGGATGATTAGAATGAAGAATAGAAAATTAGGAGGAAATTCATGTTTAGAAAACGTAATTAAAACGAACCGGAATAATTTTTGGAGTATTTCTGCGATTTTCTTCGTTCGATCAAAATTCATTAGCCTCTTTAAAATCACGTTCAAAACCGATTCAAAATTGCTCTAATTACTGTTCAAAAACCGGTTTAAAGTCGCTCTAAAACCCGCTTTAATAACCGATCTGATTGCTCTTCAAAAACCGCTCTTAAACCGCCTTAAATACGATTTAAAACCGCTCCGAAAACTGATCTAACCACTCTCAAAACTTATATAATTATGGATCTTCAGAAATCATTCTAAAACTGATTTAAAATTCTTCTAAACCCGGTTTAATAACCGATCTGATTGCTCTTTAAAAATCGCACTTAAATCCGATGGTCTGAATAATTCTGAACAGTTTTAAATGGTTCTGGAGCGTTCTAAAGGGTTCATAGACAGCTCAAAACGATTTTGGAGCTTTCTAAATGGTTCTAGTCAGTTCTAAATGAATCTGGAGCGCTCTACAATGATTTTACTGATTTTAGACTTTAGTTCTAAATCATTCTGAAAAGTTCTAAATAATTAGTGAAGCATTCTAAACGGCTCTAGAAAGTTCTAAATGGTTCTAGACTGGAATCTAAATTGTCCTAAGCTGTTTTGAATCGTCTTATAATTATCGATAAAGACAATAATTAAGATAACACTGGTCAACAAAAAAACACTTTTTGTATGTAACATGAAAACTTTTGTCTGGTTATGTTTAAAACAAGGATAAGGATGATGGAAACAAAACTGAAATGTTCCTAATACGAATAGTTTTTTTGTAATTTGATTTTAATATATTTAGAAAAATTTCAATTTTTATCAAAAATTTAAAGCTATTTCGTTGTATTTCAATATTAATAATAATAATTTTTTTTTGTCCTGGAGTAAGAGATTCCCTTTTGGGCCAGTCTTTTCTAATATAATGATTTTTTCGGTCTCTGCTATCCCACTCACAAATAAAACAACAGTATTTTGTATACTCTAGTTGTAATCCTAAAATTAGGGCAATAACCTTCAAATCTCCACAAACTTTCCAGTTGTGTTCGTTATAATGAATTTTTTCCAAGATAAATTTAATAGTTTCATAAGATTCTTTCATGTTATAAGCCTCACCTAATGGTATGGAGTAGTTCATTGTCGATATGTAAAAGAACAGCCTTTAAACTTACTTTGGAACTATCGATAAATAAACGCCACTCTTCTGCTTTGTATTCTATACCCAAAACAGTCATTACGCCATTAATATTGTTACAAAATACCAGCTCAGAATCTTGAAATCAAATATTGTTCATACAATGTAATTACTAATGGGGTCAAATTTCTTTGCTGAGTTTTTAAAGTGATGTTGCCACAAATGTAACAAAACTTATTAGGATCATTTCTTGACTTTGTTTTAGAATCACTTAACTCGGAAAACACAAAACACAACTACGCTGTTCAAGTAATAAATACATTGAATGTAGAAATGAATCTTAAAACGGTTTATCTTCAATTTTTTGAGTAGTAGCTGTAACGCAAAAATTAGACCCGATCAAAACAAAATATATAAGGCGTTGGAATCAATTTAGGTAGATAAATCAAACTTAGTAGGAACTTATCTTGTTACAAAATTTTGTTGACCAGTGTAATCAGACCGATTTATTAGAGATGGGCAAAACTGCTATTTTTAAAAAACAGTCGTAACTGCTAATGTCCACTCCAAAAACTCGATAAGACCGTTCTAAAACAGCTTTGATTGTGATTCAAAACCGCTCTAAAAACCACTTTAAAACTGCTCCAAAATCTTTCTAAAACAGCTCTAATTCTTACAAACCTATCACGAACTTATCAAGTAGGTTCTACTCTAAAACATAATTACGTTTCGAATACCTTTTAAAACTCTCCAAAAATCGACGTAAATCAACGTAAATTCAATTACGCTTTAAAAACCGCTCTAAAACCGCCCCAGAAACAACCTCAAAAGCTTAAATACTAACTTAAGAATTGGGTTATAACATACAGAGTATCCCAAGTAAAGCAAGGATGTGATTCAGCATGAAACACCCTGTAGTTTGGGAGAAGTACAGGAGCAGTTTCAAAGCGGTTTTAAGGGTTAATATTTGAAGCGGTTTTGAAACGTATTTAGAACGATTTTTGAGAGTTTAGAGCAGTTTAACGATGGTTTTTGCGAGTAGTTTTAAAAGGGTTTTTGGGGCGATTTAAATTTGGTTTTAGAAAGGTTT